AGCACTTTTCTCTCTGCTCAGAGCTCCTCTCTCTTACCCTCTCTCACCCCCTTTCGCCCTTCTCTCCACCACTGGAGTGTTCTTTACAGAAATCTTGCTTGGACCCACACTCCCTCCAGCCACCACCCAACTGCCCACCTTTCATAGTCCAACTCCTCAAAAGACGGCTCTGACCACTGACTGCTTCTGTTCACACCGATTTGCTTTCCGAATCAGAGCTCCGTTGGTATTGCTCAGTGTCACTAAGACAGCCCTATTGCCAAGTTCAATCAATGTCCCCTCGACTACTCCTAGAGACGTGCCCAAAGCACAAATATATTTGGTTTTGAGGAAACCTCGCTCCATTTCTCAGCAGTTCCTATTCCCTGGAACACGCTTCCTTCAACTTTCAAACCCGGCAGGAGACGAGCTCCACCATCTTGGCGGCTGTCGCTGAGGCCTCCCTTGGCCGGACACTGTCAAGGCTCCCGCATCTGCTGTCTCACACAGTGCAGCGGGGACAGAGAGGACGGGTTCAGAGTGTTGGGGCAGTCCCCCAGTTCGCACAGCAGCTGTGCTAAGTCCATATTAAAGTTTAAATGTCACTCGTATTTATGATGTATGGCTTTCCTTGGGGTAAAGAACATTCCGTGCTCAGCCATGAGAGTTACAGGAGTAAATGGTTTTAGGTCTTGAGAGAGCAAAGGTGTTTTGAAAAGTTGATTACGCAGAACACAAAGGGTTTTTGTGAGAGTAAAGTGTGTTGGGAAGGGGCAGAGGGTGAGCCAGGGGAGAAGACCTGCCCAACAGAGGACATCACCTGGCCCACCTACCTGTCCCACACCGCCTACCTGCTCCCCCACTTCCTGAGGCCCCATCACACCAGAGGGCCTGCAGGTAACACACAGTCCCCAGCTCATGATGAGTCAAGGCCTCTGTTCCACATGATGCTGTCCTAGCAGCCCCTGCGGACCCTTCCTGCAACAGGGAGCCACATGGTCTTGCATCGTGTCCCGAACACTAGCACCTGCCCCTGTGGTAAGTTCCAGCCCCGGCTTTTCCCGTTTCACCTGGATGCCATAGGCCAGGTTGGATGGGGTTGGGGTGGGAGTGGCCTCTGCCTCACAGGACGGGTAGAAAGTGGAGGGCCCGGTGGCTTGTGGAGGCCTTGGTTCCTTTCCCAAGAGGAGGCCTAGTACCACCTTGCTGAGCAATGCACCAATGAGCAACACCAGTCTGTGTCAGCTGAAGAATGGCCGAGATGTGTCTATGGCTAATCTCCCAACCCATGCGTGACACAGAGAACCGGACTTTGGGTTTAATTAAGTTCAGGGTCTTGGGATGAAGAGGTTCTCCAGGCAGCATTGCCTTCACAGTGATGCTTACAAGGGCAGGGGGTGGGGGGATTAGAGTCAGAGGAGCAGGAGATGTGAGGGTGAAACAAGAGGCCAGGGAGACTCAAGGAAGAAAGAGACCACAAGCCAAGGAACACAAGCAGCCCCCAGAAGCCAGAAAAGCACATCTGTGGGTGCTGCAGGGGGCCGGGCCCGAGACCCCAGGCCAGCCCGTGGGACTGGGTCTGGCTTCTGGTCTCTAGAGCTGGAAGCAAATACATGTGTTGCTGTGTGTGGTCTCCGTCAGGGCAATGCTAGGAAACTCACCCAGTCGCATTTGGCTCAGGGCAACACTGCCAGCACCTGTCCCTGTCGGGGTGACTGGAATCCTGCATTTCTGCTGTCTGACACGGAATCCCACTTGGTCCATGAACACTTATTGAGCAGCAGCTGTGTCCAGGCAGAGTCCCGGCTGGGGAATGCAAGGGCGGAGGCAGGCCTGCTCCCTGGCACCTGCTCAGCGGGCAGGAGAGTGCAGAGCAAGACCATCTGATGCTCCCACACCCTGGCAGCCAGGAGGCCTCTTGCAGGGGGTGGCACTGGGTTGAAATGAAGGATAAAAGGGACGCAGCTGCGAGAAGGTCTGGGGAGGAGCGTGTATTGCATGTGCGTTTCTGCAGAAGTAGTAACCATGAAGAGAGAGGAAGAGTTTGAATTGTTCAAAGACTAGGCTGGAGCCTAGGAATCGAGTGGGAGAGATCACCGACCAGACCTTCCTGGGCCTTGAAGGCCCGGTGAGCAGACTGGACTTCATTCGAAAAGCAACAAAGATGCCATTTGAGGTTTACACAAGGTGGTGCTGTAAGCCTGCCTGGCTGTGGCTTGTGAAATGATCACTGCAGCAGTTTTCCGGAGCATGGAGTTTGGAGGGGGCCGGCCAGAGGCACAGAGTGGCATAGAGCTGCCCATGAGAGCCCACTGCAGCCGCATGGGGTGGACACAGAGGGCCGTGGGTGGGTCAGTGGAGGGAGTGGGTGGAGTCATGCTGGAGCACCACTGCTGGAGAGACTGGGTCACTGACTGACCATGGCAGAGTGAGGACCCATTGGGGTTGGATCTCTTTCTTATTGTGCCCAAGTGCAACGCAAACAAATCAATGCCCCTCACTGGAAAGTTTTAGTCAAACTGTGGGGGCCCCCGCCGGGCGAGGTGGTGTGTACACAGTGGCTAAGTGGCCCGCCCCCTCTAAACTCCATGCTCTGGGAAACTGCTGCAGTGATCATGAAGTGCTGCCCTGAGGGCTTCCTGCGCAGCTCTGTCTGAGTTCCAGGCCGTAGGCTCTTGCAGGCAGCACCCCCAGGCACACAGGCAGTGACTAGAGCAGAGTGGAAACACTCAGAGCCTTTATTAGCCAGCCCCTCCCACCCCCACAGGGAAATGCAATGTTACTGGAATAGGTCCCTCAGAGCGTCATGCCAGGACCTGGACAAGGCACCTGCCTCCTGCCTGCCGTGGAGAAAGCTACAGCTCTTCCTTCACTCCTGGCTTCTGCTCTGGTCTTGGTGGTTCCTTTGGCTTAGTCACCTCCTCCTCTTCCTCCTCCACCTCCTCCGCCTCAGTTGTTTCCTTCTGCCCAACTGGCTCTTCCAACTTGGTCGCATTCTCCAGCTCAGGCAACTGCTGTTCAGGAAACTCTTCCTTAGCTAGTACCTCCTCTTCTGTCACTTCACTTTGCTCAACAGGTGTCAGCTATCCGAGAAAAGGAGGGAGGGGAGGAAGGAGGAGGATACAGAAATAAAGAGGCAAAAAGGATGTGATAATTGTGATGGTAACTGCCAAACCCTCTTTTCCTGGAACCATCCAAAGAGCATCACCTGGAGAATCTAGTGGGCATGAGGCCCGTTGGCCTGGCTGGGGGAGTGCCCACGTATGGCTTTGCCCACGGGGAGCCATCCTTCCTCCACGCTAAGTCCCGGGGTGTGGCTGCCCCTTGCTGAGCTCGGGGACTGAGCCTGTGGCCCAGGCCTGGCAAATAGGACCCTGCCCAGGACATCTGCTTGGACTATGAGAAGTAGGGGCTTGCTAAGCGGGGAGGGTGTTCGTTTAGTGCTGCGGGGCAATAGCTGGCCCTCCAGGTGGAAGCGACTCCTTGGAGGTGAAGTCGGCACTGAAGGAAGAGGTGGGAGACACAAGACAGTGTGAGCATCTGAGGCACTGGGCCTGGTGCTCTGCCAGGTGTGGGGATAACCTCTCTGCTGTTTAAGCCAGAGTCATGTTTCTGACACGGTGACGGGAGGGCCCTCACTAACGCACACGGCACCTTCCAGGAGGGGCTCGCAGAGCACGAGTGGAGGGTGGGGACTGGCATCCCACTGCTCCGGAGAATGATGTCATCAGAGCGTGGGATCCCGCTCCGACACCTGGTTACCTGCTGGGGACAGGAGGCTCAGGGCGCAGCCTGGGGCGCCCCGAGCGGCCTTAGAGCCTCCACCCTCCCTGAGGTCTCTAAGTCTGACATCTGCTTCCTCAGCTAAGTGCCCTGACTGCTTACCCTCCATCTCCATGGGGCACATGGTCCGGGGCCCTTGGCACACACTGCCCTAGCCATTGAGCTCCTCCTGTTCTGTGAGATATAAGAATCCAGGGGTGCTGTTCACCTTACCTCATCTCCCTCCTCAGTCCTGGCCTGGATCTGACTTTCCAGGAAGTCAGAAAAGCCCTTCACGGTGTGTTCTCCCGTGTACACTACCGCCTGGGGAGAAAGCGGACAGTCAGGCGCAGCCTCACCTGCAGGAGACGAATGGGTGGAATTCCCAACTGCCTGCATGCAACGGGCAGGCTTCTTGGCCACTGAGCCCCATAGCCAAGGCTCCAAGGTAAAGATAAAAACCCCTCAGAGGGCAGGCCAGGGCCACCTGTAGGAGCTCCGCTCTGCCTCTGGCCTCCTGGCAGCACTGCGGTCTAGCTGCTAACTCTCTGACTCCCTTCCCTGCCTGCAGCATGCAGGTCACCTCACCGCCTGGGGCTGCTAGAGGACTCAGTGGGTTCCTGCGTGGAGAGCGTTGAGGGTGTGCCTGCTCGCAGTGAGCATGCTCCACATTTGCTATTCCTGTTATTACTACAAGAGGAGGAAGAATAGCTCCTCATTCACATAACCTCCGGCACATGCTGCTGCTCAGCATCGCTACTTCCCTTCCTCTTGCACCTTTAATAGGATGAGGGAGCTGCTCACAGCCCACTGGTCGGCTGAACAGTTGTCAGCTACCGGGAGGTCTGCGGCAGAGCAGCTTCGGATCCAGCTCACTTCCCACGACTCCCCATCCACACCTGCTGCACCAGGAGGACGGCACGCCCTTCACGGGCTGTGGCCACCCTCACTGTGCTTCCCACACTCATTCACATCTCCCTCTTAATCTGTTTAACCCTTACTCTCCCTCAAGACGCCCTGTCTGCATTAAGACTCCCCACCGCCTCTGTCCTCCCGAATCTGGCCTCTCCAATCCCTATGGCATTGGAGACGGGCCCAAGTCATGACCTCCCCCCGCAACACACACACACACACACTCTCAGCCACGCGCTTCCGGGAGGGTCACCTTGGCTGTAATTCTTTGACACCTGCCCCACTGGGCCAAACAGCATGGTGAGTGTTCCTTGAACACGGATGTCATTCGCTGACTATGATACCAAAGTGTTAAAGACAGGGATTGTTTTTCTCCCATGCATTCCTCCTTCTTCCAGCAACTGCACCCCAGCATTCATGTGGCAATTTCCCCCTAGAGTCTGGGTGCCACAGGGACCATAGAGCCTGGGCCTGCCCTCTCCAAACCCCCGCATCCACGGAGCCACAGTGATGGGTCAGGGGTCAGCAGCCCTAAGCTGGGCCAGTGACAGTGAGTCTTAGGACCACTGTGGGAGCAAATGGAACGCTCTCTGCGCAGGAGAGCAGCTCTGCCTGGAGCTGAGCGCGAAGTTGGCTTGGCAGCAGGCAGAGCTGGGATGGGAGAAACTGCATCATGAGAATCGCATGGCTGGTTCCAAGACCCTGGAGCCCTCACTTGCTGCGAGTTGGCGGGGAAGAGCCTGAAGAAGGGGTGCCGGTCCAGGTGCACCAGCTGAATGTCGTTTGCGGTGACGTCAATCATGGCGATGGTGACTGTGGAGTGGTTTCGGTACTTCATGCCCAATTCCTCCAACACGGGGAACAGCCCTCTGCTCTGGTTGCACCAAGGCGCGTCTGCAAGGCAAGGGCCACGCTGAGGCCACAGCCCACCTCAAAGCTCCCAGAAATGCTGGCCCGGTCCTAGCAAGGTTCTGTGGCTTTGAAATCGTGCCCCCTCTTAATTACAATGCCACGTAGGCCATTTATATCTCAAGCATGCCACCTGGGCACGAGTAAAACCCTGCCCTCCCCCTGACGCCGGCACTTCCGGTGCTGGGAGGCTTCCTCTGCTCTTTGTTGCCTTTAGCATAGCTTTCCACTCCAGTTGAAGCAGAAAAACAAGAAAAATATTTATGCTAGATGCTCTGCCAGAAAGTGTGTGTGTGCATGTGAGCATGCACACATGCGTGTGTGCACATGTGCATGTGCACATGCAAGTGTGCATGTGTGTGTGCATGTGTGTGCGTGCGTGTGTGCATGTGTGCATGCCTGAGAGTGTGTGCACATGCACACGCGCACGCGCACGCGTGTGTGTGTGTGTGTTTGTGTGTGTGTGTGAGCTCAGGAGTTTTCCTAGCCCCCGGTCACCTAGTCCTGTGGTCGGCAAACTGCGGCTCGCGAGCCACATGCTGCTCTTTGGCCCCTTGAGTGTGGCTCTTCCACAAAATACCAACTTCTGCACATGGGCCACAAAGTTTCAATTGCACTGTACATGCGTGCCCACACGTGGTATTTTGGGGAAGAGCCACACTCAAGGGCCCAAAGAGCCGCATGTGGCTCGTGAGCCACAGTTTGCCGACCACTGACCTAGTCAATTAACCAGAGGAGTACAAGTTACAGGCAGGCTGCTCTGATATGAACCAGGTGCCACCCTGCCTCCTGGCTCCGGGGAGGAGAGGGCAGAGAAGTGAGCAGGAGGTAGTGGTCAGTACAACCGCCCTGGAGAGGGGCCGCCCGGCTTCCTCATGAGTAGTTCACAGAGCTTTGAGTCTGGCCCAGGCACCTTGTCCTCAGGAGGGAAATCGGGGACCCATTTCGAGACGGAGAGGTGATCAGGCCTTGCCTTCTCTCCTTCCACTGAAGTTCTTTTCTCCACGTGAGGAGTGGCCTCCGTGGCCCAGACACTGCATTTGGTCGATCACCCTCCATATACAAGGCAGACACCTCCACGACCGCCTGCCCTCAACAGCACCCGCGCTCCTCACTCCTCAGGAGCGCCTGGGCCCTGCGTGGAGCAGGAAGGATCATCATGGCCACGTCCCAGGGGACCAGTCTAGCAGCCCTGCTTCCGAGAAAATGCAGCTGCTTTTCCCTGTTCCCAGAACCAATGGGCATCCGCGGGGCTCCGGGAGCCGGGCAAGCACCGCAAGGCCACCCGCCTCTCGTCACAGGCAGCAGGCCCGCTCCGCCCGCTCCGCAGGCCTTGAGCACCCACCTGTGGGTGAGTCCACTCCAGGGAGACCTACACGCCTTGGCAATGCCAACCAGCCCTTAGCTCTCCCTCCCGGGAGTGATGGCATCAGAGCTGGCTTTGAACTTCTGCCTGCACCTTACTGTGTGACCTGGGGAATGTGACTGACCTCTCTGAGGCCGGCTTCCCTGATCTGGATCATGGATGGATCCACCGAACCTCCCTAAGACTCTTGTTCTGAGGAGGAAATGAGTGTGGAAATAGCAAACTCCTGCCTGGCTCCTTGAATGGGCTCAATCAATGAAGCTTCATGAGTTACATGCATGGATGTATGAGTACCTGCACTGTCACCCTTCTCTGTGCCTCTGGGGGGAGAAGGTCCCCAGCCTTGGATGTTGCATTAAAATGAGAAACAGTGAGGAAAGGGCCTTGTCTGTAGAAGAGCCTGGAAACTAAAGAATGGTAACAGCAACAAGAGCTCCCACGTATCTGGGCTTACAATGCCAGACATGCTCAATGCTTTCCACGTGTGATGTGGGTCCCCAGACTGGACACACCACTCAGGGAGTTAAAGGTAGCCACTCAATCAGTGACACAAACCAGAACCTCTGCTCTGTGTGGCAGTGACAGTGCAGGGCACGGGGTCAGGCCCAGGTCCACCCCCAGTTCAGGTACTTATTTGCTACCTGTAAAGTGGGAGCAATGATAGCAGCTCCTTTCAGAACCATGCTGTGAGGATTGAATGAGAGCACGTGAGTAGGCCTATGTGTGCAGCATTCAAGCATGTCAGCCATCAGTGCTGCCCTCATTAAAAGCCACAGGCCTGGCTGTGTGGCTCAGTGGTTGAGCATTGACCCATGCACCAGGAAGTCGAGGTTCAATTCCCGGTTACAGGCTCCATCCCCAGTACTGGGCATGCAGGAGGCAGCTGATCTATGATTCTCTCTCATCATTGATGTTTCTCTCTCTCTCTCCTTCTCCCTTCCTCTCTGAAATCAACAAAAACATATGTTAAAAACAACGAAATCACAGGCCTGGAGTATGTGGATGGAATTTCACACATTCCAAGAATTTACTTGGGGGCCCAGTTGCATTGTTAGTTGATAGCATCTTGATCCAAACTCTTTGGAGTCTGAAGACCATCCTGGATGGTGCTGAGATAGATCCGGGAGGTTGGGTGCCCGAGAATTGAGGAACACTTGACAGGTAACCTCCAGGCCCACACCTCCCGCAGCCTCTGCAGAGATACTCACAGAACATCACAAAGACGTCCCTTTCCTTGTCGAAGGCCATGGGTTGGAAGTTCTTCCCGACGAGCTGCTTCACCGGCCCCTGGTCCCAGTGCGGTGGGACCTCCTCACTGGGCTGATGTTTCTAGAAAGCACTTTGAGGGGTCAGTGGTCTCCCGAGAAGGGTCGGCAGTCCCACCTCCCCCCACCTCATTGCCCGCCCCCTGCCCTCCCTGGAAACCATGGAACGTGTGCTCTTGTTCTTACAAGACCCTGGGAACGCGTGTGTGATGCTGAGGTCCATCAGGAGCTTGATGTCAGGCTGGGTTGAACAGGGCAAATGGGGGTCAGAGGGCTGAGGAGGAGGCCAGGCTCCAAACAGTTCGAGAAGCAATTTGTTCGAAAACCAAATCATTTTTCCCATTAGAAATAATGTAAATGTAATTCATCCTTTCCAGACCCCCACATGACTCCCTGTTTTAACCTTTCTTATATACAGTGCACGTCTGATGTGCTGTTTGATCTATGAACAAGCACTTCTTTCTTTACATGGATCAAACTGCCCCCTCCCAGGCTTAAAGGAATCACATTCAGCACTGGTTCGGGGGCGTCTCGGGTCAGCATGCGGCATCTTCATTTCACAGATCGCCACCTCTGAAAGGCTGTCAGGGCTCACTGCTTCCCCGTCGTCCAACTCAACAGTTTTTCTGCCCCTTCAGTTGCCCGTGGTCACTGCTTCTTCACACCCTGAGCAACAGGAGCACTCTTGACGGCCTCTTTACATTTTAAAATTGTGCTAATCGCCGAAACCGGTTTGGCTCAGTGGTTAGAGCGTCGGCCTACAGACGGAAAGGTCCCAGGTTCGATTCCAGTCAAGGGCATGTACCTTGGTTGCAGGCACATCCCCAGTGGGAGATGTGCAGGAGGCAGCTGATCGATATTTCTCTCTCATCGATGTTTCTAACTATCTCTCTCCCTTCCTCTCTGTAAAAAATCAATAAAATATATATTTTTTTAAAAAAATTGTGCTAATGATTGAAGTTTGGTTCAACAGCAGAGACATTTTTTCTGTGAACAATTTGGTCGAGAAGGGATTGTTCGCGATGGGAGATGTGGGAGAAAGGCAGTTTGCCTGTAATTGATTCTTAGAAAGCTTAGATGAGAGCTAGCTTCATGTCTTTAATACCTTGAGTTTGTTCCCCCACAAAATGCTAGCTGTCCCCAATTACACCAAGAATCAAAGCCAAGATAACTTATACGACCGATGTCATCACACTTGGTTCTGCCCGCTCCCCAAGCTCATCACCCTCATCTGTGCTTTCATCAGACATATCGTCTTCCATTCACCCAGAGGGCTGGCCTCCCTCCCACCTCAGGCCTTCGCTTTGCTGTTCTGCAGGGAGAGCTGCCCCCAGGCTTCATTCACCCCTCAGCTCCCCTCTCTCACTGGTGAACTCGGATTTATCCTTCAGAACTACGCTAAGGGAACCATTCCCTGACTTTCTCAAGACCAGCTCAGTGCCTGGTGCCACACACTCTCATAGCACTTGGTGCTGCTCCTTGTATCACTTATGCAACGTTATTACTCATGTTCATCTTCCTGGGATTTGGTTACTGTGTCTACCACACGAGGCATTTCTTCCTTCCGCATTGGGAGTCCACTGCTGGGTAAAGACTAGGACCTCAATGAATAGTCTGTGAGTGAAGGAAGGAAACAATAAGCCCAGCTCTTGCTTCTCTTTGGAGGAAGTGGTGTCAATCTCAACATACATTTTCTCTACAAACATTGCTTTCTGAGTACGTCTTGAATCCACACCCTTCTCTTTGTCTGCACTGCTACCAACCTAGTCCAGGTAGCCTTCCTCTTCCGCCTAAAGCCTCTCACAGCCCCTAGTGTTCTCATGCATCTCCTCCTAACCCTCGCCACACCTTTATTCTCCTACCAGCACTTCTGCCTTCCCACTGCTCTTCGGATATCAGATCCCTCATATGCTTACAAGTCATTGCTGTCTGGCCTTTGCCCAGCTCAACAAACTCCTCTCCCACAATGCCCGCCCTCCTCCCCACTCCAGCTTGTAGAAAGGACTTGAAGATTCTTCACAAAAGAGCACAAATGGTGTGAGGACAGAGCATGAGAGACAGGAAGTGGTGACCATGATGGAGACTTGTCACCGGGGAGAGCTCCTAAGTTACATGAAGGATGTTCCTTTCTAGCCAAGGGCACAAGAGACCCTGTTGGCCCTTGACAGGGAGACGGGCACCTCTGAGAGGTAACCAGAGGGAAGAGAGAGAGGATGGGCAGAGCTCCAAGTAGGCTTGTGGATGTGGCACTGGAAAGTGAGGGGCCCTCCCTAAAACCTTCTATTTTCTTATGATCCGAGTAGAGTGCTCAGCTGAGCCTGAGCGTGGAAAGAGGTGCGAGGAGACATAGGGCCCAGGATTGAGAGAATGAACTAACAGGAAGTTACACCGAGCTGTCAGGACAGTTCTCAGCTCCTGTGGGAGTTTTGGCTTGTGATTCCAAGAGGCCAGCCTCCCTCACAATGATGCTCATTTCTCCAGCACTGGCCCGCAAGCTTCAGCCAAGGTTGTGGTTCTGCCTGGTAAATGCTACAGGTGGAGAAGAGGTGGGAGGTGGAGGGATAAAGGAGTGAAGAGAATCGGCATCAGAGTGAAGCCACAAAGGGGCTGCTAAAGAGCGTGTGTTATGGGATCAGGAGGCCGGAGATCCTGTGGGCTCTGGGGAAGGGAGCTAGGAGGACGGAAGCTGAAACTCGGCTTTCAGAAGGAACACCTTCCCCCGAGTGTGGCATAGAGCACGGGGCTTCCAGGGCATGGGCACACCAGTTATTGGGGGAGAGAGAGCAGGGTTTGGACACTGACATCCTGGAAATGATGGCAGAGTCGGGTGGAGGGCAAGTCTGCAGTGAAGAACGAAAGCCCTCGAGAGTAAAAGGGGGATGATTAGAGAACAGCAGCAACAGGAGGCTGGAGCAGATCAAGTCCACAGTCATGGGGTCCAGAGAACCTGGGGCAGGGCGTCCTGAAGGCAGGATGAGGAGATGTGACCCGGCAGAGGCACGGAGGACACCAGCCTGAGACTTGGCTTAGGACAGTGATGGCGAACCTTTTGAGCTCGGTGTGTCAGCATTTTGAAAAACCCTAACTTAACTCTGGTGCTGTGTCACATATAGAAATTTTTTTATCTTTGCAACCATAGTAAAACAAAGACTTATATTTTTGATATTTATTTTATATATTTAAATGCCATTTAACAAAGAAAAATCAACCAAAAAAATGAGTTTGCGTGTCACCTCTGACACGCGTGTCATAGGTTCGCCATCACTGGCCCAGGACAATGTGCATAAGAGAAGACAGCTTTCCCTTGAAGGCTGCAGGGGAAGTGGCATCTGTGGGGACGTAGACAGAAGCCGCAGAGCAAAGGTCACCGTACACGCTGGTGAGCCTGGCAATTTGCTCCAGAATACTTTTAAAGAATGTTACCAGTGCTCTCAAAAGTGTCCCCTTTTAGAAAATCAAAGCTGTGGCCCCCTAATCCCGCAGGCGGCTGGGGATGGGGCAGGTGCTGATGAGGCAGTGGGAGGCTGTGGCGCGGCAGGGGATGCACCACCCCTGCAGCTTCTCCTGCCTTTCAGCAAAACAGCCCCCTCCAGCCTCCCACCAAGGTCCGGAGCCCCTGAGGCTGATCCTGAGCACTTCATGCAGCGAGCCCCTCTCCATCCCCAAGCACGCCCTACCCCCAGGCCAAGTGTGGGGACACACGGGACTTGGTTGGAAGGTCTGTAAGGAGGATTCTTCCAAAGGTCGGGGGCCTTGGAGGGGACCTTGCCAAAGGCGGCAGCCCTTACCTTGACTTTTCCAAACAAGTCCAATCCCCCAGGGTGTTTTGCTAGAATCTCTATGTTTAGTCTTTAAGACTGACCTTGTAGAAGCATATACTTTCTCAAGGATGCTTACCCTGCTGATTGTATCCAGAGATTAATTTGACTTCAAGCTGTTGTTACAATAAAAGCCAACGAGGCAAGCGAACAGGACTGCTTTTATGACCAAAGTAAGAGCCCCTTAGCCTCTCTTCCACAGAAACCTACACAGGGGCTGCCGGTCAGCCCAGCAGCCAAGGAGACCTCTTACATCAGAATCCGAAACGAGGGTGTCAGCCCTGGGGGAGCCTACCTCTCAGTGGGTAATCCTGCCAAGGAAACGCCTTTACTTTGAGTATAAAGAATGGATAGTGCAACTATAGGGTCAGGACCGACCAGAAGTTGCATAGATTAGAGGTGGAGATATGGGGGTATTTCCCCACATTGAAGCTGAGACTCACCTTTATTCTCCATCTTCATTCAGATGACCGAGATAGCAGAATTAGGAAAAAAAAGGGTGACTTTGAGGTTCTGGATAAACCTTCTTTAAGAACAAACTTACCTTGGCGCTTCTACGCAGGTAGCTGCGGCCAAATTTCTTGAGGTTTTGGGAGGTTATGCTCCCGAAAGGCATTTTGTATCTCGCATCAGAGCTTAAGTTCAGGATTTGGACAGATGGGACATTGACCTCTGTGATCCGGAAGTATTCGAAGATACGTCCGTTTCTAGGCTCGTCTGCATCCACCAGGATGAAGAGGATCTGTCAAGCGGAAAGGATGTGAGAGACAGGAGAGGCAGTTAGGGAAGGGGTCCCTGGAGAGGAACGCATAGTTATGGGCAGGGACCACTCCAGACCCCCGGATTGTCGACAAGACTGTTACATGACAGCCGCAGCCGGTGTGGCTCAGCGGATAGAGTGCCGGCCTGCGGACTCAAGAGTCCCGGGTTTGATTCCGATCAAGGGCATGTACCTTGGTTGCGGGCACATCCCCAGTGGGGGGTGTGCAGGAGGCAGCTGATCGATGTTTCTAACTCTCTATCCCCTCTCCCTTCCTCTCTGTAAAAAAATCAATAAAATATATTTTTTAAAAAAGACTGTTACATGACAAGGGGAGGGGGAGAGGGGGCACCGAGCTGCTTTGAAACCTTGAAACCATGCAGGGAACAGGGGAAAGTGACCAGTTGGGAAAAACACAGGGGACAGGAGATAAGGAAGGGCCCACTCAGAAAGTGGGTGAGCAGACAAAGAAACTGCAAATATTTATCACCCCCAAAGAGACTCACTGGACTAGGTTTGGTCCATTCTAGAGAGAAAGGGTTCCCCATTTGGGCCCCTCCCCAGGGGAGTTTGTATGCCCTTGCAATGAGCTTCCACACTTTTGCTTAAAATCCTTCAGTCCGAGAATGTATTCTTCAAACTTCGTGAGACAAGAACCCACAATGAGAGAGTCCCAGCTTGCCACTCGGTTATCGGAACCCAACCACACGTGTATGCACGGGTATTGGAGGGGAAGGAACTGAGTCCCTTATGGAGAGAAACGGGGTCCGCAGTGGGAAAGCACAAACACAGGGTCCACGGCACCCGGAGGCTTCCTACAGGCTCCCTTCCAGCAGGCAGGGGCCGCCCTGCACCGTGTGCACTGCCTGGCACCCCATCCCCACACCCTGTGCACTGCCTGGCACCCCATCCCCACGCCTGTGCACTGCCTGGCACCCCATCCCCATGCCCTGTGCACTCCCTGGCACCCCATCCCCACGCCTGTGCACTGCCTGGCACCTCATCCCCACGCCCTGTGCACTGCCTGGCACCACATCCCCATGCCCTGTGCACTGCCTGGCACCCCATCCCCACGCCTGTGCACTGCCTGGCACCTCATCCCCACGCCCTGTGCACTGCCTGGCACCACATCCCCATGCCCTGTGCACTGCCTGGCACCCCATCCCCACGCCTGTGCACTGCCTGGCACCTCATCCCCACGCCCTGTGCACTGCCTGGCACCACATCCCCATGCCCTGTGCACTGCCTGGCACCCCATCCCCACGCCTGTGCACTGCCTGGCACCTCATCCCCACGCCCTGTGCACTGCCTGGCACCACATCCCCATGCCCTGTGCACTGCCTGGCACCCCATCCCCACGCCTGTGCACTGCCTGGCACCTCATCCCCACGCCCTGTGCACTGCCTGGCACCACATCCCCATGCCCTGTGCACTGCCTGGCACCCCATCCCCACGCCTGTGCACTGCCTGGCACCTCATCCCCACGCCCTGTGCACTGCCTGGCACCACATCCCCATGCCCTGTGCACTGCCTGGCACCCCATCCCCACGCCTGTGCACTGCCTGGCACCTCATCCCCACGCCCTGTGCACTGCCTGGCACCACATCCCCATGCCCTGTGCACTGCCTGGCACCCCATCCCCACGCCTGTGCACTGCCTGGCACCTCATCCCCACGCCCTGTGCACTGCCTGGCACCACATCCCCATGCCCTGTGCACTGCCTGGCACCCCATCCCCACGCCTGTGCACTGCCTGGTGCCTGTGCACTGCCTGATACCCCATTCCCACGCCTGTGCACTGCCTGATACCCCATCCCCACGCCTGTGCACTGCCTGGTGCCTGTGCACTGCCTGATACCCCATTCCCACGCCTGTGCACTGCCTGATACCCCATCCCCACGCCTGTGCACTGCCTGGCACCTATCCACACATGTAGGACGTCAGGCAGTCCTGAGCTTCCATCCCAGGTCCTTGAGCGAAACAAGAATTTCCCCTCTCTGTGCCGAGGTTTTGTTGTCTGTAAAGTGGTGATTTCATAGCTCCCACCTTATAGGGTGGCTATGAGAATTAAACAGGACCATGTATGTAAATGTTGCGTTCAGTGACTGGGAGGCAGAAAATGCTCTTTAGTATTCTAAATTCCTTCATAGCAAGGACATGCGTGACTTCACTCATTCATTCAACAAACAGTCATGGAGCTTATGTTGTGGGGAAGGCCGACAGCAAATGAGGGAACAACCGACCAATCCAGAGGGAGAGCAGTCAGACTGTGGTCAGTTCAATTACATCACAAACCGCCAAGCGTGACATGGTGTGAACCAGGAGGTGCAGTCACCAGCCACGGCGCTGTGCCCGCAGCATAATCCGGGGGAATAACAAGCGGAATGGAGCATGAACCACTAAATAGGTTTGGGGCCTGGACGCTTCACTCCGTGTTTATTTGGGGTTACAAAGTTTTTCACTATTTTGTTTACATTTCAGTCATTTTCTTCATAGGAAAAAAAATGCCTCTTGTAAAAATAAAGAGAAAAAGGAAGTCCATTACGCCCCAATCTAGGTGGGTAACTGCAGGAGCACAGGCAGGGTGCTTAGGAAAAACAGGTTGGTTTTGCGTGGTCCTTCTCTCTCTCTTTTTCTTTTTATACTCAATCCCTCCACCCCCTCTCCCCCCCAGCACTTAAAATATTGACTGCTTTACTAAATGTTGGGTCTAACCAGGGCTGTCTGCCTGCTCTCCCTCTATGAGCCTGTGAGGGAGCATGAGAAGGACCACGCAATAACAAGCACCATTCATTGCACATGTGCCCATTGCCTTACTTAAAGCACCTCTGATTCTTACCACAAGTTCCCTTTATACCGAGGTGACTGAGGCTGGGAGGTTAAGGAACAGCCCAAGTGCCCATCAGGAGATGAGAGGATAAACAAAGCTGTGAGACGTTTACATCATGGAGTACTCCTCGGCTGTATAAAAGAAGGAAATCTTACCCTTTGCAATAGCATGGATGCACCTGCTCATGGACGTGCACAGTAGTGTGGTGATTGCAGAGGTGGGGTGGGTGGAGGTGGAATAGGGCATAAAGGAGATAAAAGGTGATGGAAAAATAAAATGAAAAAATTTTTTAAAGAAAAGAAAGAGTGAAGAAACAACTGACATCACACAAATACAAAGGACTGTAAAAAAATATCGCAACCATCTATATGCCAACAAATGGGACAATCTGGGTGAAATGGACAAATTCGTACAAACATACAATCTTCCAAAACTCAATCAAAAACATCAGAAAACTTGAATAGCCCAATAGCAACTAATGCTATGTAAGCAGTAAGGAAAGAAAAAAAAAACTCCCAGCAAACCAACAAAAGTCCTGACCAGACAGCCTCACAGATGAATTTTACCAAACATTCAAAGATGAACTAACACCTATCCTCCTCAAACTATTCCAAAAACTTAGAGGAGGGCCCTGGCCAACATGCTCAGTGGTCAGAGAGTCAGGCCCAAAGGTTCTCGGGTTCAATTCCCAGCCAGGGGCATTTAGCTGGGTGTGGGTTCAAGGCAGTGAATGTGGGAGGCAATCAATCTATGTCTCTCTCTCACATCAATGTCCTCTCTCTCTATTTCTCCTCTCTCTCTCTTCCACTCTCTCTAAAAATCAATGAAAAAAATAGCCTTGGGTGAGGATTAATGAACAAATAAATAAGAGAAAGGAAGGAAGGAAGGAGGGAAGGAAGGAAGGAAGGAAGGAAGGAAGAAAGAAAGAAAGAAAGAAAGAAAGAAAGAAAGAAAGAAAGAAAGAAAGAAAGAAAGAAAGAAAGAAAGAGGGATACTTCCATGCTATATTTACAAGGCCAGAATTATCCTAATTCCAAGACCAGAAAAGACACTACAGAGAAAGAAAATTACAGGCCAATATCCCTGATGAAGATAGATGCTAAAGTCCTCAACAAAATATTAGTAAACCGGACCCAGAAAAATATTAAAACATCAAACACTATGATCAAGTGGGACTTGTTCTAGGGATGTAAGGCTGTTACAATATTCACAAATCAATAAATGTGATACATCACATAAACAACAAGAAAGATGAAAATGATATGATCATATCAATAGATGCAGAAAAAGCATTCAATAAAAATACAGCACCCATTTATGATTAAAAACTCTAACCAAAGTCAGAATAAAGAGACCATACTTACCCTGACCAGTTTGCCTCAATGGATAGAGTGTTGGCCTGTAGACTCCAGGGTCCCAGGTTCAATTCCAGTCAAGGGCATGTACCTTGGTTGCGGGCATATCCCTAGTAGGGAGTATGCAGGAGGCAGCTGATCGATGTTTCTCTCTCATTGATGTTTCTAACACTTTATCCCTCTCCCTTCCTCTCTGTAAAAAATCAATAAAATATATTTTTTTTAAAAGAGAGACCATACTTCAACATAAAGACCATATATGAAAAACCTACAGCCACCATCATACTCAATGGGCAAAAAGGAAAGGGGCAAGACAGGATGTCCGCTTTCACCACTCTTATTCAACATAGTACTAGAAGTCCTAGCCACAGTGATCAGACAAGAAGAAGAAATAAAAGGCATCCAAATTGGAAAGGGGAAAATAAAACTCTCATTATTCACAGATGACATGACATTATATATAGAAAACCCTAGAGACTCCACCAAGAAACTACTAGATCTAATAAATTATTTTGGCAAAGTAGCAGGATACAAAATCAATATCCTAAAATCAATTGCATTTCTATACACCAATAATGAACTATCAGAAAGAGAAACTAAGAAAACAACCCCATTTACTACTGCAACAAAAAAAATAAGGTAACTAGGAATAAATTTAATCAAGTATGTAAATAACCTGGACTTGGAAAAGTATAGGACATTGGAGAAAGAAACTGAGAAGTATACAAATAAGTGTGAGCATATACCATGTTCATGGATTGGAATCATTAACATAATTAAAATGTCCATACTACCCAAAGCAATCTATAGAATCAACACAAACCCTATTAAAATACCAATGGCATATTTCACAGATCTAGAACAAATATTCCAAACATTTCTATGGAACCAAAAAAGACCCTGAAGAGCTACGACAACCTTGAGAAAGAAAAACAAAGTTGGAGAAATCACATACTGGATATCAAGTTATACTACAAACCACTGTAATCAAAACAGCCTGGTACTGGCACAAGAACAGACTATATATATATATGTTAAAGGCCCAGTGCACAAAAATTTTTGCACTCGGGGGGGGGG